AAGGAGAAGACCACTGCCCCGTAGTACAGTGGAACAGACAATCAGCCAGGCGCAGCCTGTTCAGGTGCAGCTACAGCTGCCACAGGGTGTCTCAGCTGCAAGCCACATCCAGGCACTGGTGTCTCAGAGTGGGGAGACCATTCCCATCAGAGTAGCCGCCGTGTCTCAACCCTCGCAGATCCAGGAGATCCCACACAGTTCTGCTCAGGCCGTCCAGATCAGGGAGATCACGCTGGAGCTCCCCCAGGGGATTCAGCTACAAAACGCGCACGTACAGACAGAAAACGGGCAGGAGGGGGTACAGCTCACCCAGACTAACGTCATGCAGCCAACTGTCATGGAGGTGACCCAGGCGGGGGTCGTGGAGGTCACCCCAACAGAGGTGATGGAGGTGACCCAGGCTGGGGTCATGGAGGTCACCCAGGCAGGGATGGAGGTAGACCCACAACAGGAGGGTCAGGCAACAGAACATCAACAGGTACTCATGGCGTACTCTAATGTCTTAACCTGAGCTATACCAGGATTTATATAATATATGTCATATGATTCATATCTGGGCCACAATAATGTTTGTTGGGTGTTCTAGCCATTTGTGATAAATATCTCTCTCACATGGAGTCCTAATGGCTATCACACAGGCTTCCAATTGCTCAATAGAGGAATTTGAATAGGAGGATTTGGATGTTGGCATTGTTGTTACAATTTTTTGCTTATGGACACCAAATTTTGGCACATTTCACATTGAAATTGTTTTCTGGGGTGGGTATTACATAAATAGAATACAAAACAGTGACTGTGAATTCCGCACCCTCCCACCGGCTGTTGGATAATCTGACCCACAGTCGGGCTCTGATGATACAGAATACACTGTGTTGTACTCTATATAATATGGACTATAGAGCTGTCATTTTCATACCGTGACTTGCAATGTTACATGTACATGTTTGTAATGGACCTATACCATTATTAAGTCACAGTTTGTTTACCTGTTCTAAAGAACATTCTAGAACGGTCATTTAAAGTATAAAGATCATTTCAAAGTTTTCAAAGTAAGGTATGTCTGATTTTTGCTGCGTCTAGTTGTGTTGACACAGCATTACATGCCGCATGGGTGATTTAGTTGTGACATTAGAGGAAAGCAGTACTGTATTAAAGGCCTTATATTAGGCTAACGCTACACAAACACACACCACGCTACGCACCCCTGTACAATATAAACGTCGATTGACCGGCATTCATTGCGGTAAACAAACTGTGACGTAATAATGGTATAGGTCCATTGTAGTATAGAGCTGTGTACAAAGCTAACTAAAATCTTGTAGTCATTACCAGTATAAGTGCTTCTCACTGGTTCAGATATATTTGGTCACATTTGACTTAGTGTAAATCGCTGTGTTTTGCCGTGCAGTTGACTACCCGGACTATCCACATCCTGCCTGATGGAAGTCAACAGGAGATCCACATCGCTCCTGACAGGACCGAGCAGGTGGTCCAGCTGTCCTCACAGGAGGAGGTGCACATCGTAGAGATCCCCACCACCCAGGGGGACATGCCCATCCCCCAGGGGGAGGACAACCCCACCCAGGTTATGAGCGATGCCGTACAGCTGGAAGTGTTGGCCGCAGTCAGCCAGATCAACTAGACATCCCAGAGTGCACTTCATCCCTCCTCCCGGATGGATACAGGCATGGGTAGTAGTAGTAGTAGTGATTGGTTTATCGTTAGGCCACACCAATTTAATTTGTGGCTTCTCGGATATTTTCAGAAAAAATATGAAGCAACAGGGTGTCGAGGGCAAAATAAAAATTAAAAAAAAAGGCCAAGGCACCCCATGATAGCCAGAAATGGTACAATTTGAGCTATGAAGTCAACATACCAGGCTGGTTTATAATTAAAACAATATATTTTGAACTTTAAATGAAACAAAGTTGCATTGTTACATTGAAAAACTTTAACAACTAGAGAAGAAAAGGACTTTCTTCAACCGTTCGAAATATGTCTTTTATTGTGCATTTTGCAGTTGATTTAGAACCTAAAAAAATATTTTTTTTTTGGCAAATCAGAAAAAAATGGACAGGGCGATTCCGAGAAACAACAAATTAAATTGGTGTGGCCTTAAATTCAATTGGATGGGACCAGAGTGTTTTTTTGCAGTCCAACTACAGTGCAGATTTCTAATAACTTCCCATCTACACACTGTATTTCAATAGATTTCACCCCTCTTTATGTATATTCCGGTGTATTCCGGTTTACCGTTGAACCTGTCTGTGCTTATTGTCTTGTGTAGAGGTAGGTGTTCACCAGCCAGGGCTCGGAATACTTCTTTCTGCACACCTGCACTGGGGCAGGTAACATTGAAAGTTACCTGCACCAGACCAAATTTACCTGTACCACTCAGAATTTAAGAAGTATGGATCACATTTGAAACTCTTCAGAAACCAATTATTTTATACATGTACTTCAGAGGTGGTAACAGTCAATGCAGCAAATAAAATTGCACATAACACATATGTATAAATATATATTATATAGTACATGGACCAGTGGAGGTAGACATCAGAACTACCTGCACAGCAATTTTATCTGCACTAACCTGCTTATGCAGGTGGTATTTCGAGCCCTGATAGCAAATGTACATTTTCAACCTGAAGTGTTTTTGAACATTAATCAGACTGTTACATGAACTGAATTTCGATTTAAAGTTAACAGTCAGTAATTTTTGACTACCAATGTTATATTTGAAGGGTTCCATGCTCATTTGCTCAGGATATATCTGTCTGCCATGTATTGTCTTACAACATAAATAATGAGCAGAGTTTGATACACCAATGGATGGGAGTAAAAAATTTTGGGGTTACAACCAAACTTGTAATTGTAAGGAAAATAAAGTACATGTACTGTGAAAAACACTAAAATAACATAGGCAGGAATCAGCATTCTTACAGGTTTATAAATAGACATGGTGTTAGTGAGTGGTTTGTTTCAAGTATTGCAAATTTTGTGATTTGACCTGGACAAATCTTTGACCAATATTCTGCCTTTCAGTATAGATGAAATAATGAAACTTGGTTTGTTGTTTAAAATTAGTATTTACATGTAGCCTGTACAGTATCACCAACTATTGAAACATATGTAACATCCTGGGTTTTTTTTCCATTATCTGACATAGTGTTAGCCTGTGTTACACAATCTTTCGTAACAGTTGTGAAGACCTGATTGGGCCTCCTCCCAGAGAGCTTATGTCCATACACCTTTAACTCCAGAGAATCATTCCCAGAACTTCCAATAGGAGCTCAGGATTCTTTGTCACTATTAAAACCAGTCATCACTGCCTCCAACACCATGGTAACATGGTCTAACATTACTGGTCCATGTTAGCACATAATGCATAAATTCAGTAGAATTAAGATGTTCCCAATTCTGACTTAGAGGTGTTGGTCATCAAGGTTCTAGGAGCTTGACCAGTGGAAGGGCCTGTTGGAAGTGTGATGTAGTCAGGCTATGCATAATGTATCCTGTGATATAACCTAGTCCTGACCATGAAGTAGTGCTGCATACCGGTTCAGTGGACTTGGATCCGGACTTGTAAGAATGTTTAGGTTCAAGTCCAAAAAAACCTAAAAGTCAAGAACCGAGTCCGGACTTATTACCATAAAAGACCATTTCACATACCCCTTTTCTTTCCAAACTACCTAAAACCATCCGTAGATTGCAAAATCTTTGCGGCAAAATGAAGAAAACATTGCCATCGGGCATCGTCAAGTACTGGCCTCCATGTTATGTGGCCAAAGTTTCACCCAGACAACCTTGCAAAGTTGCCAACATGCAATTTTGTATATGTCATGGGTTTAGGTCTGGACTTACAAGTCCGGAACTGAACCTAAACCTCTGGACTTGAATCCGGACCTGAACCTAAATGTTGGGTTTAGGTATGCAGCACTACCATGAAGTGTTGTGGGATAGTAGATTAAATGTCAGAAGTAGTAACATGAATAGCAATAGATCACATGTTCGTATACAACTCCAAAGAAATCTGGTCTACATGTATGTGGACAAGTGGTCACTGTAGACATGATTCTTAATGCTTGTGTTAGTGGGGAAAATTATCTAAGGCTCCACCAAAAATGTTGTCACATTAGCCAGGTGGTCCTAATATGCAGAAGTGGTCACTTGTAATGTATAGGTTTGAATGTATGTAGATATATTTCTAAAGAAATTATGGTCATAGGTGATTTTGTTACAAGTTTGTATATTTTGCTCCTGATTTTTTTCACATTGGTTGTAATAACGATATTACTGTTTTGGAGTTGACATTAAAAGCTGTGTTCCTCAATCATAATACTGCGGTTGTGATGACTCACCTAGGGAAGAGAGTGGAACAATGACCACCTGATGATCATTAAGGCCACACCAATTTAATTTGTTGGTTCACGGATTCGCCCTCTTAATTTTTTTCTGATATGCAAAAAAAAAAAGAACCAGCCTCTGAATCAGCTCCAAAATGCTCATATTTTCACCCCAACAGTTGAAGGAAGTTCCTTCTCTTCAGAGTTGGTACAGTTTTTCCATTCTAAATGCAGTGGTTTGATTAAAAGTTTTAAATTCATTGCTTGAATTAAAAACCAGCTTAGTATGTTAACTTCATGGCTCCTATCATAGCATTTAGGGCTATCATAGGATGCCTAGGTCTGTTTTTATTTTCCTTGCCCTGTCACTTTTCTTTATGAAAAAAATCAGAACCAACAAAACAAATTGATGTCGCATAATAAAGGCATCCAATACAATTTCAGGGCAGCAAAACTGGATTTCCAAAGTCAATTTTCTGGTCAATTCTTTTAATGCACTAAGTTGAATCAACCCTAACCCATGTAGTATATATACATACCATTTCCTCATCCAGAAAATTTTTATTGCATAATGCATAATTGGATGCCATTTCTTAGCACATTTTTGTCATTTCATACTTGTTGCCCCAAAACAAGCCAGGTGGTACCAAGACTTAATTTCTTGGTACCACACATAAAAAGCTAGAACCGCCCTACAATACAAAACAAGCAATAGAGACATTACACTTTTTCACTGACATTGCTATGGGACAGTGTTGATTCCACTTAGTACATGAACATGAACAAAATAAAAATTGGCTGAAAATCCAGTTTTGGTGCCCTGAAATTTTATTGGATGCCTTTTAGCACAAAATTTAATATGTGTTTAGGTGTATTGTTTGTGCGAGACGCTTGTACAGCGGTGTCATGGACCACTTGTGCCCAACAAGAAAACAGTCTGGAAAGTTTCCACCCAAGCTGCTTGATGTGCATCTTTGGTATCTCGTGGAGGGCAGGGTACCCTACTCTCTTAGCGCTAGTAGGGCTGTTTTGGAACATCCCGGCTCTGGTTTGGCATCTCCTCTGCCAGGAACGTCTATAAGTATTTGTACAGAATGTAAAATGGGCACATCCTTGTAAGGCAAATTAGCTATGCCAAATGAGACCTGTGGTACACTGACATACACCCAGCCAGTTGGGATGGGATCCAATGATCATCTTGTGGAAGACCGCCATGGATGGTGACATTTACCCCTCCTTATCTGCCAATGTTTTTATCCTCACCGTTTATCGTTACTGTTATTTTTCCTGAATGACATATTACGTAAAAATTGTACTTTTCAAGAAGTGGCAGGGTGGTCTTGTGGTTGGGTTTGTTAACTCAGATTCTGGTGGGCCCCTTTTTGGTATGTCTTTGGAAAAGGCACTTTACACCTTTTTCCTCACGTGACTTGTGTAATTGAGTACCTTGCTTTGGTTCAGGACGTCCTCTCAGATACATGTAGGACGTTAAGCCATAGGTGTTTAAGGGAAGCCACACCTTGAGCATGTTAAAGACCCCACCACACATGTTGAAAAGAGTACAGATCCTTCCCTGTGTGAGTGGTTCAATTTACCTAACAGTCTGGTCTCAGGTCTGACATCTTGAAAAGGTGATAGTCACCTGTTATGTCAATCATTCCACAAATATGGTAAATCTTTATAAATCAATATTAATATTCCATCAGTACATCTACTGTACTGCACAGTGGTAGTACCGAGATGAGCTTACTTGTCTGCCATAGAATTTTTCCCTCTTTCTGTAAAAAGCTGAGAAGCAATAGATAAATTAAAAATTAAAATAAAAACATTGCCAAACCATTTATAAATAACAAGGGACAACTTTTGAGAACCATGGGAATGGATTTATTAGTGCCTTAGGTAAACTAATGGAAGGAGATACTTGAAAAAATGTTTTCAATACAACCATACATAACGTTACATATAGCTTGTTAATTAGCATACCAAAATCTCTGAATTATTAGAAAGTTACAACAATATGTTTCCCCATTGTATAAGTAGTGAAATGTATTTGTAATCGTGAAATCTTCACAAAATATCGTGTTTTTTTTGCATATACAATCAAAATGTATTGTCATATTCCATGTACCAGGTATACTGTAGTAGGCATCCTTCCATTTAATTATTTCACTCCATCGAGTGAAATACTGTCTTTTCTGATGTTTCTTCTCCTTCTTCTCCTCCTGCCATTTCTTTAAATCGATTCAACTCCTTCATTTTTGGGCCAAATAACATGAAATTTGGCATGGAGGTAGAGTGAGCAAATACCCCCAGGCGTTTTTAATTTTTTTTTTTTTGATACAAGCTTTTACAATCGTTTTATTTGTTTTTTTTTTATCTGTTACTATAGGAAAGTACTGTGGGTGAGTGAGCGCGTGAAGGCCGACATTTGCTTGGGAGCAAATACAGCATATTTCAGTCCATCTCCCTCCCACGCAAAAGTGGACTATTCCAAACTTACCCCAGTGCAAAACTGGCAAAGGTTCTCAAATAAATGAATTAAATAGTAGCTATGTAATTGAGAACAAAGATGCAAGAACAAGCACTTTGAATCTCGAAAGCTTTACTAATCTTATTACAGGTATGCAAATACTAACAATGATGAGATTTGATACATTTTGAAGGTCTTAGGCACATAAAATTGAATGCGTGGGTCATTACCCATGACTTACGTGCAATGTGACCTCAGGTAACCCGCAATGGAACACGTGTTCCATCACGGCGGTCTGTCACTACGGCATTCTTTCCCATTGCTATGCGCGTTCTAAAAGGTATCGGGTTACAACACGCTATTTTGGCCTGTTTTGGACTACACGTAAAATATTTGAAAATACACAAATAATATTTAAGGGTAAATTTCGTCAAATTAAAATGAAATTATCGTCTTAACATCCTTTAAATGTTAGCTTTTTATGTTAAATCAATGATTTTTAAAAATTTCGCTCAGAAAGACGATTATTTTCGGGTTTCCGAGCACAAGTCATGTCACGTTTTTAGGCAAACATCGTTCAAACCTGGCTACGTATATTACCCCAGATCCCCCGATTTTTATTTTTTTCGCAGACTAGGAATAAGACAAAAAATCGTGTTTTAGGGATTTTTTAATTTCTGATTTTAAGTCTAGTTTTTGTCTACATATTGGTGAAAAATGGCCTTTTTTGACATTTTTCTCACTAAATTACCCATAATTCAAAATTGAGGCCATTTTTCAAAAATCGCTAAAACACGATTTTCGGGACAACCGTTACAGTCATTTTGAGCCGTAAATGGGGTATGTTTGACTCTCCATGCTTCCAGGTTTGAACGAGTTTTGGAGACATGTCATATCGCCAGAAAGTGTGCATTGTGTTATTCATACTGGCGTAAAGAATCATTACAGTATTCAAGGTCACTCAAGGGTACGACAGTAGCTTCGCTACATGTTACATGTCCACCAAAAATAATAGCGGACATGTACTGTCCAGGAAACTGTTTGTATCTATAGAAAAGTGTTGTTTTTTATCTGTTGCAATGCACGGAGGCAGAAAGGCTTGTTTTGCCGCTTTATTGTAAATGACCGCAGGTGACCCTGAAATAGAACGCGGGTTCGATTCGAATTCCCCAGATCGAACACGATCGAACACAGTTCGGGTTCTATGACATGTGGGAACTTTTCAGCCCAGATTTTACCACCGTGCATGGCCAACGGCAGATGGAACGGGCCATTCTTTAGATAGAACGTGGAACGGGTACAGCACTTTTGGCCCTTTTGTGGCCTGAAATAGCCATTAAAGTCCCCTAAATGAGTCATTTGCAAGTGGTGTATGCCAAATATGTGACTGCTATTCTGTAGACACACGTTCAAGGTGCCCTTATACAGAATTTCAGATCATTTGGTTGTAATACCAGGGATCAGGATCCAAAAGTCTATTTTTTGTCGAAAAATGCCCCCAAAAAACTTCATAAAAATTTTTCAAAGGCATGTATCAAAATAATGAAAAAAACCACCTGGGGGTATTGGCCCACTCTACCTCCATGACAAATTTCAGGTCATGTGACTAAAAAATGACAGAGTTGAATCCCTGTGACTGTGCGGCAGGAGGAGAAGAAGGAGGAGAAGGAGAAGAAGAAACATGAGAGAACACAATATATTTCATCCATACCATGGTATGGACTGAAATATATTATCATATAGCCAGGTGGCGTTGACCAATCAGAAGCCCCCATTCCATATTGATTATGACGCCATAATGTCACAATTAGCATGATACAAGTATTATATGCCAGGTGTGTTTTATTCTCACAAGTGTGCTTTGTTGCACAATAAAACACGGCCCGGAGCAAACCATTTGCAGGGGAGTGGACTCTTTTGCTGACATTTGTAGCACGTTTCCTTGTTGAATAGAAATGTTTACCGTCTTGTCATCACCCAATTTATTTAGCAACATATAACAAAATAAAACCCATGTCAATACATGTGAATTTTGAGCGAAAGAAAAGAAAACATATTTTGCACCAACCCCCACTAGTAAGTACATCTCTTTATATCATACCCGGGCCGCGATAACGTTCGATAACGGGTTCCGGTTACGGTACGGCCCGGTCCGGAACCCGTTATCGAACGCTTCCCTGGCTTCCATAAAACGATTCGAACGCGTTTCGCCCTAACCGCGTGTGCCCCTTTCGAAAATTCGAATACAGAATCTGGACGTTGGAACTGATGTTGTTGCATTTGAGGGTTTAGGGGCACCAACTTTTGGCTCATATTGCATTGAAAGGCGCGTTTTCTTGGGTGGGTATGATATAAATAAAATACAACACGGTGTATTCCGCATCGCCCTCGGTCCCGGCCCTCCCGCGAGTCGGATCGCCCTCCGGCCTGCGGCCGTCGGGCGATCTGACCCACGGTCGGGCCGATACCTCGGCCGATACGGAATACCCCGTGTTGTATTCTATATGTATTGAAACATCCAAATGACTTCAGATGACTTCAAATGGAAGCTTGTTCTATTCTTTTGGCCCAAAATAACCACAAATGGAATACCGGTTCTGTTCCGAAGTTCCGGTGAACTCATATGAACTACAGGTAAAATCATCACACTAAAGGGCATACAATTTTAGACAATGGTGTGTCAGAATTTGTCATAGATATAGAAGAACTGACTGATGCCAATTTACTCAATATGTGGGTCCTTGGAATCGGGAAAGGTACACGTCACTCAACCGTATCCAAACAAAAAAAAACATGATTTCTGGAGAAGGTAATTAGGTCAATCGCGACGTGCATAAACATAAACACTATAAGTCATTCGTCTGGTAAATAAATGCACTGCCGCCGGCTGCGGCCGGCAGTGCCAAACATGTTAGTTGCCGGAGCTTATTGAAAGGGGGAAGGAAGCCTGTCATTGATGCTTACAGATGAAGTACACAAACTGTATACGTAGGTGAGTGACAAATCGTTTCTCAAATAAAAGGTTTGGCTACAGGTAAACGGCATGTATGTAAGACGTGCGAAGAGAAACGCAGCCATAATCCTTTTGCTTCTGTTACTGGAAGCTGACTGTGCCGCCTCAAGTGGCCCACGATTTCCTCAGTGTAACACTGCTGAATGGCAGGAGTGTGTGCATTCTTCGTACACGCACGTGTTTTTGTACAATTCTGGTACAAATGCATGTGTCGTGTGTGAAGTCCTGAATGGTAGCGTCGCCCCTGCAAGTCCTTTCCCGTCTCTTGCTGGGGTAAATGGTGTGGCAATAAGAGGATACCCATTCCATGTCCTGTCAGCCGTGAAACTGGCACCGCTCGATCAGTCGAAGGTCTTCACTTTGGCTTTGATAGATGCAAAGATCGCTGATGTAAAGAACAACACCTTTGCTGGGTTTCCTGGTCTATACAAATTGTCCCTAAATTCTAACAGGTTGACCCATGTCAAGCAGACTTGGTTCACTGGCTTGGTGGGCCTCTTTGTGCTGATTTTGTCCAACAATAACATCAAGCAGATAGAGCCAGGAAGCTTCGGGCGCCTGACTCACCTATATCTGTTGGACCTGGAGAACAACCTGTTAAAGGTTGTACATCCTTCCTGGTTCTTTGGGCTGAAAAGTATGAGGTCCCTGAATCTGAGGTCGAATGCAATCAATAGCATTTCTCCGGCATCATTCCAACAGCTACGGCTCAACCGGTTAGACCTGAGGGATAATGATCTGTCATGTTTGGATGGAGAGGTGTTGTGGGGACAGACTATGCTATCACGGCTAGATGTCAGCAGTGGTATGTTGTCGTCTTCCCATGATGCAATGCCACACAAAATGATGTGGAGTCTACATCGGGTAGCCAGTGTGACGAGAGGGTTAGTTACAGTGGTCGTTGAGGTAACTCAGTTCCTCTTCTGTGCCAGGCAAAATGCTCACGAACTCTCGTTTGGGTGGATGTTTGTTTCATCCGTCAACGTGGCTGGTAACACCGAATTTGGATTGCTTAACCCTGGCAGATCATGTGGTGATTTGGATAGCTCTCTGAGCACGATCTCCATCCAGCCCCCTGTAGTTGTCCTGGCTTCTAACGGCTCTCTGGCAGACACACTGGACACCAAAACGCTTGAGCAGTGCGGGCAGGTTTGGGAATATGACGGTGGCATTACGGTGGCCCTGGTGCGAAACTCAATCTTTCGATTGGTTTCCATGCCCATACACACAGGCACAGAGAGTACGGTCTCTAAAGGTATTGCCATGTCGTTTTTCCAGACACGAGACACGAGCACACTCGCCACTACAGAGTCTGGCAGTAGCCAACAGCACACTACTCACACAGACATCACCCATGACAAGACAAAGAACATCACTTGCATTCTTCTCACCAGAGGCGAACACAAAAAGGTGTTCTTCACTGTCCCCTTGGTTCAGCGTAACACCCACACAATAGAAACAACATACAGAACGGGCACTGACCGCTCCAGCAGTCCGACACACTACTTTGATACTACAGAGAAAGACTACACATCTTCAGAACCGGTAGACCTGTTTACACTTGAGGGTAATACCACACCTGGACCGGATGTAGAGGTGGTTCAGACACCAGGTCATGTTCTCATCCCAGCTGTTGTCTCGACAGTGGTTGTTCTGGTCGTGTCGTCCCTTGCAGTGTTGATATGGAAGGTGTGCGCAGCAAGGTCAAACACCGAGGATAATGACAGGGACAACGACGATGCACACATTTGGACAATCCCGCCTGGCGTTACCTTCCCCGGCTTGCTGAGGTCCGCTTCTCTCCCCACGTGTTCAGGTAAGATGGCGTCGGATGACGCAGTCTCCTGTAGGTCATTGCCCGCTGTCCTGCATTCCATCGAACCTTACAGCGTGATCCCAGATGACGTAGCGACTGCACAGAGGCCTTTGCCCGGTCTCCCACACGTGTACTGTGAGATCCCAGATGACGTGATCCCCGGTGTGGTCCGGTCAGCATCCCTCCCTGCGTGTACTCGCGGGGCCGGTCCAGAGGACGCGACATCCTGTAGGTCATTGCCGGCTGTCCTACCGTCCATTGAACCCACCTACAGCCAGATCCCAGATCACATGCCCGCTGCAAACCGCCCCCTGCCCGCCCTCCCGCACACTTACTGGGAGATCCCAGATCACCACAATGCCACACAACGTCCCCTGCCTGCCTTACATCATACCTACAGCGAGATCCCAAATGACGAGGAGAGCGGACCGATGTCTTTCTATGCTGATGCTGGAGAGATCTCGCTTCATGTCGTCAGAAACAGGCGACAGAACCGACGGTCTGGACGATCCATGGCCACATATGGGACGACGTCGACTGGACAGACCAACGGCCAGCGAAATCCCTTCTACAGAAACGCCGCCGAGGTCGAAGGTATTAGAGCCCGGCGACAGCAGAGGACAGCTTTGGTATCTCAGCCTGCTGACCAAGGTGTGAGCAGGTACGGCAACGTCACTGATGCAATCCTGTCCAGAGGTAAAGACGTCACAAGAGCTCATATCGTTTTTCTCACACAGCCTAACATATATAGGTCATGGGAGATGCAAGGGGAGGGAATCCGTATCACACCCCGACGTGTGTCCCTCCCCACCGTCACAATACCTAACACCTACTGGCCATGGGAGATCCAAGGGGAGGGAACCCGTAACACACCACGGCGTGCGTCCCTCCCCACCGTCACACTACCTAACACCTACTGGCCATGGGAGATCCCATGGGAGGGAACCTGTAACACACCACGGCGTGCTCCCCTCCCCACCGTCAAACTACCTAACACCTACTGGCCATGGGAGATCCCAGGGGAGGGAACCTGTAACACACCACGGCGTGCGTCCCTCCCCACCGTCACACTACCTAACACCTACTGGCCATGGGAGATCACAGAGGAGGGAACACGTAACACACCACGACGTGCGTCCCTCCCCACCGTCACACTACCTATAAACACCTACTGGCCATGGGAGATCCCAGGGGAGGGAACCCGTAACACACCCCGACGTGCGTCCCTCCCCACCGTCACACTACCTAACACCTACTGGCCATGGGAGATCCCAGGGGAGGGAACACGTAACACACCACGGCGTGCATCCCTCCCCCTCACACCACCTAACACCTACTGGCCTTGGGAGATCCCAGGGGAGGGAACACGTAACACACCACGGCGTGCGTCCCTCACACTACCTAACACCTACTGGCCATGGGAGATCCCAGGGGAGGGAACCCAAAACACAGCACAGCGTTCGTCCATTCACCTCCCACTATCTAACACCTACTGGTAATGGGAGATCCCAGGGGAGGGAACCCGTAACACACCACGGCGTGCGTCCCTCCCCACCGTCACACTACCTATAAACACCTCCTGGCCATGGGAGATCACAGGGGAGTAAACCCGTAACACAGCACGGCGTGCGTCCCTCCCCACCGTCACACTACCTAACACCTACTGGCCATGGGAGATCACAGAGGAGGGAACCCAAAACACAGCACAGCGTTCGTCCATTCACCTCACACTATCTAACACCTATTGGTAATGGGAGATCACAGAGGAGGGAACACGTAACACACCACGGCGTGCGTCCCTCCCCACCGTCACACCTACAGGCCATGGGAGATCCCAGGGGAGGGAACCTGTAACACACCACGACGTGCGTCCCTCCCCACCGCCACACTACCTAACACCTACTGGCCATGGGAGATCCCAGGGGAGGGAACCTGTAACACACCACGGCGTGCGTCCCTCCCCACCGCCACACTACCTAACACCTACTGGCCATGGGAGATCCCAGGGGAGGGAACCTGTAACACACCACGGCGTGCGTCCCTCCCCACCGTCACACTACCTAACACTTACTGGCCATGGGAGCTCCCAGGGGAGGGAAAAACCTAGTGAGTCAAACAGGCTGAAATGACTTTGCACATTGGTATAATTTCGACACACATTTGTGCTTGGCAGGCAAATCTTCACCATGTCTCTACTGGAGACAACTATTTTCTGAGCCTCGAAGATTCATCGTCAAATTGAAGGAATAACTAAGTGAAACAACCTAACCTATCTGAGTCGCATGTCCTTTAACCTATTTACTGTTTACAAAGCTAAAGCTGACTTTCGATCCATATAAAATTATATCAAACTAGAGTTCCCCGATCTCATACCTTCGTCAAATAATGCTAATCTTTATGACTGACAAATTATAGATCCTCCCCCCCCTGATTTAACAAACAGGATCCTCATTTTCATGTACCAGTTTATCATATTCTCAACCAAAAGACAGTCTTATATTAACAAACAAACGCAGCAATTCTAGCATTTCCTCATAAATTATGCAAATGATGTACTGATTTGAATACATTATGTTTAATGATGTTCACCTTCACTGAACTTTCTAATACCACAAGTATGAAATTCCAGGCATTTATCATTACAGAATTATAACATTTTCTCATTAATTATGCAAATTAAGTCTTCATTTACATAATCAATATCTGCCTGTGTTTCTCTCGTTTTCAATTACCAATCCAACAAGCTTCCATAGTCCTATCATGGAATGTAGCTGATTTATAGAATTTCCCCATAAATTATGACCTCCCATGAAAAATACATGCCTTTGGACAACAACAGGAATAAACATTTCACATGAAAGCTCATGTAGAACTGAACGCTTACAGCAAGTTTTGTGTGAGATGAACAATCAGGTGGCATGCAAGCATACTCTCCTGAGAACAGGATATGTTAACATGAAACGGATAACTATCCTACATTAGTTGCTATGGAGGATGGTCTTATAAAAGGCCAACGGGACTTGTACACTAATGCTTAGGTCACAATTCAAGAAAGGGGCCCGCTCGGCGCGTGTTCGGCGTGTTTTTTGGCACTACCGAACGGGACCTGGACGGAGACCGGCGGCCTATTTTTGGCCCCGCGCGGTCGCCGAATCGATTTTAACTCAGAGTTAAAAACACTTCGGGCCCCGTTCGGCGAAATACGCCGAAGCGACGCCGTAACCTCACTGCCCGGGACCCGTCGGGCGGCCGAACAGGCACCTGCCTAAGATTATGACGTCACATGTGCTGATCAGTGCATCAGATGGTCAGGAAAAGGGGGTTATAGGGAGCATATATAAACTCCTGCCTCAGACTACGTCGCACAGTTCACCACGTCTGTGTTACATCGTGTAATGTGTGTGTTACGCCTTGTATTTGTGTGTCAGAATGTCGAAGGGCAAGGGAAAACAGCCGGCACGGCTCTCTTGCCAACTTCATAAAACAGATCATAACATGAATAGAATGTGTCTGACATTATCTCTTGTTACATCATATGCCTTCGTAATAAAATGGAATCAGAAGTTATTGGCATTTATTTTCGGTCCAAATTTCAACAGAAGTAACGATATTCAGTGGTTTTATTGCTCAATAGCAAGGAGCTGCCACGGCACACCTCCTGCGTCACTGCTGAAGTACTTTCGAAAGTAGGCCCTCGGTTACTTTTGCGACGCACCAGTTCTGCCTGCCTCTCTTCTTCAGCTACCAATGCCAGAAGACCTACATGTAGGTTGTCACCAATCTCAATCTCAGACGGGCTTGTAAGTTGTTTGCAGGTTGCACTGAACGCTGCATCGCCAACTTCAGTCTACTCTTTACTTGACGTGTACTCTTTACTTGAAGTGAACGGTAGCAGGCAGTGCAGCGCTTATATATGTACCTGCTCAAAAACACGAGAGGAGCCCGTCGGGATCCCGCAAGGAACCCGCCAGGGACCTGACAGCTGCCCGGCCGAACTGTAAGAGCCGGTCGGCACCCTACCACACGCCGCACGGGTCAAGACGGGCGACTGACCGGGCACCGGACGGGTCCCTGACAGAAACCGGCCGCAAAAGTTTATGAATATTAATGAGAGCCACCGGCCGGAGCACAAGCAGGCACCAACAGGGAGCCGCAAAGGAACATTTAACCCTAAACAGTACACCTGGGGTCCGCGCGGACCCCAGCACTATATATTCTGTAATATCTTTTTTGTTTCTAAAGATTTTTTTCTGAAATTTTAGGTAATTGTCACCTACAAAGTTGTCTCTCAATACAGTGCAGAAAACTCCGTTTCTATCATTTATAAAAAAAATTATATCTGTTTTTCTTTTGGGGTCCGCGCGGACCCCAGCCGGCTTTCGATCATAATGGATACACTGGCGTTCTTATACATTACCTTATTTCCGTTTTTATATGTTTTTATGCACTCATCGTATGTCTACCAAGTTTTCAGAGAATGGTGTAGTAATAGAATTAAATTTTGATAACTTTGGTGTAATTATGACGTCATATGACGTCAGAGCTAATAATATAGTCCGCCATATAGGATTTTGACCAATGACGTCATCAAATTAGCATAATCTATGCATATTAAATGATTTAACTTATATTTAATTATGTAAGATGTTATAAATGTTGGAAAAGAAGTGTAATTTAATATAAAACTCAGAAAATTTTTATGTTTAAACCAAAATTACTTCTATTTTCAAAAAACTGCCTGCTAGAAACCCGTTGCCAT